GTGTAGTGTGTACTCAGTAGTGTGTAGTGTGTACTCAGTAGTGTGTAGTGTGTACTCAGTAGTGTGTAGTGTGTACTCAGTAGTGTGTAGTGTGTACTCAGTAGTGTGTAGTGTGTACTCAGTAGTGTGTAGTGTGTACTCAGTAGTGTGTAGTGTGTACTCAGTAGTGTGTAGTGTGTACTGTGTGCAGGCGACAGCACAGTGACAAGACAGTGAGGAGAGTAGGAGGGAAGGGAAAAGGAGCGATTGGGAGCTGGTCAGCCGGGGGCGGTAGTAGTGCACCACGCCACAGTTATTCACAGTAGGGAGGACAGAGGAGTGATGATTGGAGAAAGTTATATTACACAGCATGCGAACTCTTAGGTCTCAACAGTGAACAGTGAACACTACCCCTGTGCCTTTTACTTTACACAGTTACACCCCCCTCATTATTTAGCAGATCTTACCAGACTGTCAGTCTCCGACCTCATCAACGGCGTCTCTACATGTCTCTCCTGAGGCGGCTGACATCGCATACGAGCATTCACATTTGACAAACAAATGCTGTTTTCTCGGAGATTGATCATGCGAAGACCAAGATATTATTTATCTAGAGTGTATATATAGTATGTACATCACCTTATATTATTATATATAGAACCTATGTTGCTCTGCAAGTATGAAAGCGCGTTCTGAGGCTCGTAGAAGTTACAAAGGTTATCAGTCCAGAGTTCAGTAATTCAATTTGAAACCAACAACGTTGTGTAGTTATCGTCACTTAAAGCCGCCATATAGTTGCTATACTAGACCACACTTTATACCGTGGCGATAGCCTAAATTGACCGATTTTATGCCCATACGTACTTTTCTATTAAGCAGAGCTGCCTTGGATGTAGCTATTAAGTATAATTTATTGCTGTACATGACGCTGCCCAGCGAAAACGACCATGTGCTGATTTCTGACGTCATACATCGTACTAAAAGTGGCAGGGCCTTATTTCTGATCGATAAAAAAGTCGGTGTGTACGATTTTGAATGAGTATTTATTTAGTTCACCTATAAATGGGCGGTCATGGTTTGAAATCTCTATGGAATCAGATTCGATCTATAGAATCGCATATCCAGTTGCACTCACTCGGTGTCAGGGCAATAAATTCATACATATGTTATTCACGTGGCATTAACCAAACAGTGAAACGAATTGATAACATTCAATTCAAAACACCAGTGGTTCAGGCAACGGATAGAGGTGATGAAAGCAACTGGCCAAACGGGGTTTCTGGCCACCATAGCTACGAAATAGTAAACGCATTGAACGCCCAAATCCTAAATTCACACGGCATTTATCGTGCACTTTTGTTCTTAATGAACGTGCAAATTTGGAATCGATCTCGACACCTGTATTCCTATCAGTTGTGATACAAAAAACACTTCTATAGTTCTAAATTTCAAAAGCTTTTTTGAAAACTCATGCCACCTTCCCAGTTCCAACTTTTTGTGCGGACTCTTCTAGGGCTTCAAACAGCTGCTCCTGCGCGAGCCGTATAGTTTCCTGTTTGAGTGATGATTTAGAAATAGTAGAGGGTTTGAGTCATCATTGAAATAATAGTATGTTATGATAGATATATCTAGTTTCAATGCCAATAAGCAAATCTCCGTATGTGATCGCTTAGTATGCAATGTTCCTTGTACAGAGATTTGCAGCAAAGTCCCTTAGTTGTTGCTAGGTAGTAACTATTCCTTGCACGCTCCAGTACTGGGACTACCAAACCCTCGACCCACATTGCGCAGCCAAAACACTGCACAAAACATCTTGATATGGTGTACTGCTGTAGACAGCTCGACCTAATTGACGGGCATTGTGGATTGATATGAACATCTTACACTTGGGTTTAGGGTTTAGGGTCAATCGCCTCTGTGCAAAAGCTTCATCACGCACATACACTCAGACAAACGAACACCCACTTCACTCCCAAGGCACAATCCAAAAATAACACATGTCAGTATGTGCATCCAACCCCATCACGCACACAGCACACTAAAAGATAAACGTTAACGTGACCCATCCCGTACGCAGCACACTAAAAATAAAAGTTAACGCGAACGGTGGATACAATAGACACCACTGTGTACCTTCGGCGCATTGGCATCGTGGAGGTCTCTGAGGATTCGCTTTGCCGATCCGAAGTCACTTTTACTTAAACTTTGGTTTAAGTTCCATATCTGCGCACAAGTAAACGGATTGTGCAGTGGGGAATGTGTGATGAGCTTGCTGCGATGGGTGCAGGAAAGAAAACGCTACGGAAATGAAAACCCAAAACCCTACGAGTTACGGTGTGGGTTGTCCCTCTATAATCATGTATGGTCGAATACATGAGTGTGGTTAATATTTCAACCAACCATTGACATACGTATCTCTATAAAGTTCATCTATGGATATGTATGCGTATTAAAGGTATCACTATAAGGTTAATGTGATACACAACTATGGATATGTATCCCATTCAAGCACAATGTTAATGTGATGCATATCTATAGATATGCATCCCATTCAAAAACAGCTTGCATTGAGCGCTATGGAGTGCCATTCATATGTCTACACTTGAATGTGATGTGAGTATATATTGCACTGTTCTATACACGTTTAAACGTTAATCGCTCATGCTGTACTATCAGTCATAAATTATCAGCCATAACCTCTGTGTATGTTTATATCATGCTATACTATTTGCAATAGATTATCCGCCATAACCTCTGTGTATGTTTATATCATTCTATACTATCAGTCATTGATTATCTGCCATAATCTCTGTGTATGTTTATATCATTCTATACTATCAGTCATAGATTGTCTGCCATAACCTCTGTGTATGTTTATATCATTCTATACTATCAGTCATAGATTGTGTCTGCCATAACCTCTGTGTATGTTTATATCATGCTATACTATTAGTCATTTAGGAGCGTGTATATGATTTTTTGTGCCATTGCATTGACTGTAGAATTGGCCCACGTGGATCGCATACTTTTAAGGGTATTTAAGAGATTTATGAGGGTATTTAGGGATTTAACAGCCAACTAATCGATGCACATCAGTCCGTCTGATTCATAAACAGCCTCGCCATTGAGAGACTGGTCAGGCACATGCAAGTACATGTACATATGTATATGGTACATGCACATGTACACTTACATATGTATATGGTTCATGCACATGCACATATACATATGTATATGGTATATGGTATATGCATATAGTATATAGTATACGTACATATGCATTGGTATATGTACATGCAAATGTTATTCCAACTACACTCATTGCTGCACTCATGCACAACTGCTGAGTTCATACCGTTGTTGCTGTCACATTAGAAGGAATCGTGCCCCTCGCACACACCAGTTTAGTTTGAGAAACAATATGTCTGCATTCATCTATACGCGCAGATTGCTTGATATGTTGTGTATCAGATTAAAATAGAAACCCTAAACCCTATGACATTAGAACGTACCATTTGACTTCGTTCCATGTCTCTCCGTTGCTCGCGTGCCCGTGCTTTGATCACCTTCGTCTCTTCTCTAAGCTTCTTCTCTAGTGTGTCTGATTCATCTCTGATTGTCTGTGAATAAACACAGAAAATATACCTCAAATCATATATATATATATATATATATATACATATATAGATAGATATAAAATTATAGATATAGACATACAGGCTCTTGTAGGAATATGTGAGCGACACCTGCGTGTGTTAAAGTTTTACGTCGTCCCACTCCAGAATGTATGTACTCTAGTACGCTGATGGGTTCCACACCAACTGATCTCTGTAGTACCAAATTGCTTGCACTGGTCTCAACAGCACACGCACAAACACACGCACAGCGATTGAACGTTGTAGCTATTGGCGCAAGAGACCAGGAGTGGGCGAATAGAGTAAACAGACGAATGACAGGTAACACATGAACAGACGAATGACATGTGACAAATGAACAGACGAATGACAGGTGACACATGCACAGCATAAGTATTAGGAGAGTATGGCCAGTCATAGACCTGTAGCGGGTGGCTCTCCTGTCCTGGTTATAGCACATACCGTGAGGTTGTTGTCGATGAGCTTCTTCTCTTTGATTATTGTCTGAGTTGTGTGAAGAACAGATCAACGCACAGTGAATGGCGATGGCTTAGATATTTTGGGTGCGATTCAGCCCTAAGATTAAAAGGGTATGGTCCACTACAAGGTACACTGGGACAGGGCCCTAAGGTTTCTATAGTTTCACTGGGAGTGCGTGCGTGTATTGTACGTTTCGATGTATATTTTCTTACGTTTATATAAATGCATTGGTTCTATGGTTTCACTGGGAGAATGTGTATGTGTTCTTATCTTTTTGTAAATGTATTGGTTATATAGTTTCACTGAGGGAGCACAAGCGTGTATTGTAATGTTTCGATGTATGTATTCTTACCGTTGTATAAATGTATTAGTATATGAGTTCACTGGGAGAATGTGTATATGTTCCTATATTCAAAAAAATGTATTGGTAAGATAGTTTCACTGAGGGAGCACAAGCGTGTATTGTAGCGTTTCGATGTATGTATTCATACCGTTATATAATTGTATTAGTTATATGGTTTCACTGGGCAAATCTGAGCGTATTGTTACATTTTGATGACAACATCTGTCACAAGCGTATATATATATACACGACTAAAAACATCCATCCCAGGCATATATACACAAAGACTAAGAATATCTACCACAAGTATATATACATACATGGCCAATAACAGCTGTCACAAGCATATATACATACATGACTAGCAACATCTATCACAAGATACATACACGACTTAACAATATCTATCGCAAGCACATAATGTCAATGGAATGTGAAGGGCAACACTCCCCTACTGACACCACCCACTAACCACCCCCACTGACCAGCCTTGTCTGCTCCATGTCTTGTTGGTGCTGTCTTTCTAGTTCTTCAAACTCCTTCTTCTCTCGTTCAAAGTCCGCCCTCACCTCCTGCAGCACAGCGGTGGGGCGTGCAGACGAGTCATTGCGTGTTAGAGTGTGACATACGTTTTAGAGTGTGATATGCGTATTAGAGTGTGATATGCGTATTAGAGTGTGATATGCGTATTAGAGTGTGATATGCGTATTAGAGTGTGATATGCGTGAATGATATGTAGAAGTGACGTGTGCTGTAGTCTGAGTGCTTGTTGTTATACTGTTGTCGTGTGAGTACACAGATGAATGATATGTAGTAGTGTCGTGTGCCCACTACAAGACTACACATTCTAGAAGCAAGCATGCGCCTATTTAGAAGGCTGTGATGTATGATTGCTTATAGCCTGCGCGCTATCTGGCAACGGCGACAATGTGAATGAGCACAATGGATCCCCTATAGGTATACAGGTATTATATATATGTCTATACGTAATGCATATCCATATATATATATGATATAGAATCAATATAATAATACCTACAGGCGTTATATTGATGTCTATGAACTTCATATACAGAAACACTTCAACACTCGCGGGCTATTTGGTCGCACGATACGTGTGTCAACTATTGCCAATGCTCATACAACGCCCTTCTACCACACAACCGCCATAGAGCCCAAACCTGTCCCGTTATCGCTTTCGCAAAGTAATATATATGTGCCTTACAGATTAGCATAACTCATACATGTGATGTATTATCATATGACATACAGCGTAGCGTGTGTGACCTGCATGGTGAGTATGAGATGTGAATGCCATTCAACACACATCGCTATGTAGGTACACGTGTACACATGCCACCATCAAACAGTGCATGGAATGGTGCAGCTGTATCTCTGAGTTGTTCTAGGGTCATACGCATTCGTATTCCGTGTGCATTATGGGTTTTAGGGTTTAGTCCTCGCCCCTCTCTCGTAAACCTTCAAGGGCCGTGTTCATATGCAAGCTCTTCTGAACCCACACATCCCACAACCCGGCCACTCACCGCCATCTGGCTGTCGATGTAGCTGGTGTAGTCGTTGGCCATGGTCTCCATGAGCTGATCGTCGCTGCGCCTGAGTACGTCTTGCTGTTGCTTGGCCTGTGCAACGGTTGCGTTGTGCGTGTCTATCTCTAGTTTAAGAGCCTCCACCTCGTGTTCCAGTTGTTTGATCTCTGACAAGGCTAAGAAGTTCTCAGCCGATAGTCGGGTCTGCATGCGTTGCGTGTTCGATGGTTTGTTAGTACTGACGGATGAGTACATCGATAGAAACGAACGCGTGCGTTATACGCCCTCCCGGGATACGCCTTGTACTACCTCTTACATCCGTACATCTTCTAAACGGATTGAGTTCAGCTATACAGAATATACGCGTGCAGTAGTTGTGCGTTCGTACGCTTTGAGGTTTGTCGAAGCCACACAACATAGGCGAACACAACCAAAATACTTCGTGTGTGGCGTTAAGTTTCAGGTGGAGCTGTTTGCTGAATGGCGCGATATAACGTATACAATGATAACGCAAACCTAAAACCCTAAAACCGTTGATGGTCGTTCGGGAACAGTCAGATAGGAATGTCTACACAACCTGAAACCTGAGTGAAATGTCGTATATTCCTGAAGTGGAATGTCGTATATTCCAGAAGTGAAATATCGTATATTCCTGAAGTGAGATGTCGTATATTCCTGAAGTGAGATGTCGTATATTCCTGAAGTGAAATATCGTATATTCCTGAAGTGAAATATCGTATATTCCTGAAGTGAAATATCGTATATTCCAGAATGCTGAAGTGAAATGTCGTATATTCCTGAAGTGAAATGTCGTGTATTCCTGAAGTGAAATGTCGTGTATTCCTGAAGTGAAATGTCGTGTATTCCTGAAGTGAAACTAGCAAGTGTGCCTTTCATATCAGACGAACTAAAACCCTAAACCCCTAAAAACGCAACACAGTCGCTCATGTGCAGCCGATATCACAGAGGTAAGTACACCCGAATTTGTTCAAATGTTCCGTTTATCGGTGTATGCTTTCGTAGTTGGGTTTGTTCGTCAGTGTAGTCCAGGGTTTAGATCATAACTATCTGCTGTTCAACGCAGCGAGTTGTCTATTTATGTGGAAGTTCATTTGACGGACAAACATTTTGCCAACCCTTCTGGAATTGTACGTATTGAAACTGAATAGACTAGAACTATTACACACAAATAAAGATGTTAAAACAAATACATACAAATAAAGATATTAAATCAATTACATACGGAACTATTTGGACACAAACAATTCATACGACAGCAACGACAGCAACAATATATACGATGAACTATTACACACAAATGAGGATATTAAAATAATTACATACGAAACTATAAGGACACCAACAATTTATACGACAGCAACAACACCAACAATACATACAATACTATGAAGACAAGAACAATACATGCAATAGCAACCACACAAACAAAACATACAATACTATGAAGACAACAACAATACATACAATAGCAGACAGCCGTCGCTTCTCCGGTTCGGCCTCAAACAGTTCGAGTAACGTGGTTTTGACATCGCTATCCACTCTGTAGAAACCCAAACCAAATGATCCTGTGCCTGCTACGTCTACCGGAGTCTTTCCTTTCTGCGTGAGTGTGTGTAGATAAATATGTGTGTATAGATATATATATGTTTGTGTAGATAAAATGTATGTGTGTGTGAGTATGTATCTGAGAAAAACTAAGTTAATGTACGCCACAGGGAGTGTGTGCATAGCTCAGATAAATACACTATACCGTGGACTTGACGTATGAAGCTTAGAAATGACTCTCTAGGTCCGTAGCCCAGCCACACAGTTGTGAGCTGTACTACGCGGGACGGTGATGGGATACAACTAGCAGGCGAAGCCAATAGTACACGCATCGAATACACATGTGCCACAAACATGTGTTTATATATACAATGGGTCTTTGTACATACGTACATATAGCGTACGTGAACTGTACGCAGATGTATCTAGATGTGCACATATCCACATATGAGTATTCATAGGGACACAAACAGTTTTGGAAAGGTATATGAGTACTTAGCACACATAGGAGTTGTTTGATTGTTGGGTTGTAGGGTTGTAGAGTTGTGGGGCTGACTGTCTAATAAGAGCCAGGGAGACATGCACTAGTCCAGAATGGTTGTTATTTGCAGATGAGCTGCCAAGACACTCACAAGTCGATGTACATGTGATGGCCTGTACGTCTAGTTATAGTTACATTGCCAATAACTGCTTAGCAGCCTATGTTTCCTAGTTGTACATGCATTCACATACCTGCATCTGTGTATTTATAATGCAAACCCCATATGAAGTCAGCTCTATCTATACAGGCTATCTTGTAGCTCTAAGTTTCGTTTACTTTTCAGATATTGGCACACAATAACTGATCTAAATTGTGCAGAGTACTTTCAGGACACACTGTTAACAGCGACCAACCTGATTTTTGACCCCAAATCCTGCGTTGTGTTCCAGCAGCACTTTGATGCACTCGACCTTTCCCCACTCAGACGCGTGGTGCAATGCCGTATCACCGTACTGTTAGTATTGATTGAGAGCGCAACAGTGAGTGTACAGTGATGTCAACCCGGTTGGATTGGTACTGAACTGGTATATGAGAAGAATATATCGTCACTGCGTGACTGCTGATGAGCACTTCTGCGCTGTTTGGGTAGTAGTTAAATCACTCACAACAATCAATAACGTAAGACTAACTGGGGAATAAAGGCTACTTATATTACAAACCACTCCGTGATTGATACTCAAAAGCACGACTATGTGGTCTGTACTCAAGACATGACTATGTTCTTCATGCTCAAGATAATAGCTCTCTGCAAAGGTCGCTGGATGAAAGTGGGATGCGCTCAGGATCATCACTTGTGATAAACAATTTCACAGTGCCATGTTCAAGTATACGACCAACGTTAGATTGGCTAGACTGTCGGCGTGAACAGCTCACAACTGCACACAAAAGAAAGTAACACTGCCATCGAGTTGCAGAAGCGCATGCGAACACATCCCCCATATCTCTAATCCCAATCATATTATCATAGTATCATGTTGATTACTATGGACTAGGTATCGAACTCTAAGAAAATAACTATGTGTTCCGCTGATTAGCCTCAGATCTACATTTATGCTTACAATTTCAAGTATACATATACAGTTCATTGCATACGTTGAGAATATCTTGCCATCAGAGTCTTGTTAAATATAAATACGAGTTCACACATACGTCCAATGGCATATTTGTGTGTTAGTACATATACAAAATTGTACTGTTGTCAAACAAACATATATTCAAATAATTAGATTAAGTGCATATATTTCCAAATACATGAATTATCCTGCATACTTGGGCACTCAAAGACGTAGATGTGCATGTGCTTTATATTCTGGTATGAGGGAGCACATTCATTAGACGATGCTTACGTCGATACTCATTTTCAGTTGCGAGTATGGTATGACAATGCTATATATATATATATATGTATGTATATATATATAGATATAGATATAGATATATATATATATATACAAGAGTGCGTGTGTTTTTATCGATACATTTTGTGTATGAAAACACCGGAAGGAAGGTTTCCAATACACGTGGACATATATACATATATGAATACAGGTATCGGTTGTATACTTACACACATAAATTACTAGACGAAATCAAATGTTTTTGGGTATAATATATCATGGCTGTGGGTTGTACACATACTCGGGTATGTGGTCGCATGTGCAAATATCAGCAAATGTGATCCTTTTTGTTTGTGTCCAGTATAGTCTCTACTTAACGCTTTGAATCGCATAACCCGCAATCCTCAGGTACTGTCAACATTCGGAAAAAAACAGTGTATCCGCATACCAGCCATCACATAATTCGACAAAACTGAAACTATTTGAACATTCAGCAGGCATGTATGAATGCATACATACACTTGCAAGGTAGTATTGATATACACAGATTACTACATACGTTATCAGCCAAATCTACAACCGCTCCCTCTGCATCCATCAGTAACTGCAGCGCTTCGTGCTGGCCAGCGGATGCAGCATGATGAGCTGGACCCCATCCGTTCTGAGTAATTTGAATTTACGACTCCGTTTGAGAAAGTATTAAGTCATACAATGCGGATAAAGTTTTGGAGAACAGTAACCAGATTGCCACTAAATCAACTTGCACGTGTTTCACAACCACATGTATCTATTCCCACAATATGATGTAACGTATGCACACAGCGTACCATAATTCACGTTTTGTGTTGAGACACATTTTCATTCAACAACTGACACGCTTGTTATCTGTTGCCGCGAATACAAAGTCACCATAAACCCATTCCAAACTTGTGCGACAAAGTTTTGCAATCGTGAAAATCAGGTCAAGTAAAATCAGCATACCCAATCTTTGCTGTTCACATCGCCGTGGTTAGCAACGTAAGTTGTGATCGTTTGTATGTCGCCTGATTTGGCAGCGTCGTGTATACTTGGCATGATTTTAAGATTCTCGTCGTAGCAAGTATATAGAATTGAAATGTATACGAAACTCACAGAATTCAACTCAGTGGAATTCCTGTTGATGCACGCTTGATGTAGTAACCGAAAGGTGAGAAAAGTGGCTATATTATATCAGGTACTTGTACAAAATCTCTTATGGCAAACTATCCGTTTTGTTGAGCAACTTATTTATACAAAGATCTTTTAATTGTATAGACATTTCAATCTCATACAAATATTTTTGATGTGTGTATGTAATTATGTATACATCCACTATGTTATATGTATGTATAACTTCATATGAGTGCTCCGTCAATGGGATATCCGAGCACCTAGTAGTAGTTGATAATAATAAAAATCATAGCCTTTGTTGAATTCAGTAGGCTACTACATACTGATTTTTATTATTATAGATTATGTATTTTATAAAATTGTTGTTGAAATAAAAAGGGTAGAAAAGCCCTAAACCCTAAAAAAAACAGTGTGCAACTGCGCATAGTGATTGGCCCTAGTAACAGGAAACCACTGAGTCTAGTACACACTGAGTCTAGTGTCTACCGCTATTTATTTTCCATTTATTTAGAACATTTAGAAGGCTATTTATATTGAGGTCCTGAGAGGACGTAGATATTCCATTTGCTACATATTGGTTTGTTATATATATAAATTAATTGAACAAAATAGTGTGTATCCATGGGCCGTGGACTTGTGGCGTTGACTCGTTGTGGACTGTGGAGTGTGGACTTGGAGTCGTGGTTACTGGTTACGCGTGGTAACTGGTAAGTGGTTTACTTCTGCCAAAACAACACTAAAAACAGTTGGCTCTGTCTCGGGATGCTATTGGTCGCTAGGGGCGATTGCTGGTTTTTTCCCCCTCATTGAATATGTTTTTTTTTAAAACAAATAGCTGTCAATTTTGTATGTATGTATTATGTACTCTATTTAAATAAAATAAAAATAGTATTTAGGCTATGATAATATATTTATAATAATAAAATTGTACCACAGAAAAAGTGACTCATCACAGCCGAGCAACCCGAGCCTGCCCGCTGCCGAGCAGATTTATTGTCAATTTGAAAAAGAATGAAAAATCGAACACTCATAATAATGTAAGAATAACAAACCTCACAATAATAAATAAAATAACCGAATAGGGCCTAACCTATATTTAGCCACCAATCAGACGTTCTCTAAGAAGCAATAACCAAAAACAGAGTATTCTATGTTTTTTTTCCAAATGCTCCAGATCTCTTCTGTTCTTTTTCCAAATGCTCCAGATCTCTAATACCAGAATATTCGACAAAGCCGTGATGACGTAACCAAAGCCAAACCCAACTGTAAAAACTTTTTTTTTGGGTATTTATGGCATGTACATGGATTTTTTAAAGATACATACAACTACATGCACAGGGCCACAGGCTACAGCGCTTGATACGACACTCAACGTACTGGTCATTATTCAATACTACACAAACCCTGCTATCAAACATACACCGACAGGTGACATCTTTATGCTTGAATTGCTTCGTTTGTAAGTGCATCACGACGCCGCGCCCTTTTACCACAACGTCTGCGTTTATCCCACTCAATATATTCCGAAACTCTTTAACCATACCGTCTGCGCTTATCCCACCCAATATACTCCAAAATGAGTCTGCGAGATGCCGCCGCTAAAGGTGATTCACATACCGTAAAGAAACTTATGGATGAAGGGGTCGGCATAAACGACGAAGATTGGGTATGTGCAATTTGAGCGCAGGTTTTTGTGCATGGCACATTCAATCCCAACAGCACTTGATACAATCGAATTTTTGTATTTGGAAACGCACAAAGCAAACTTTATATTGAACCGAATTCACTATGTAACTTATAGTAGAGACTTTCGTCCGCTACATGCCCTACGCTCCTTCTAGTTCGACAATGGTGCCAGAGGCATGCATACTGTCACTTCCCGTATCTATTAGGTACTGATCGCCACGCCGTCGTATCGCTGCGCCCAAATGAATCTCTCCTATAAAGCACTATATCGACACCCTGCTTGATATATTTTATTCCGACATATTTAATCAGAGTTATATACAGTACTTCCTGCTTACACTGGCCTATGTTGTACCTTTTTCTATATAATTCTGCTGTGTAGGATGGATGGACAGCATTGCATTTCGCAGCTTCAAATGGGCATTTTGAGACCATCGATGAGCTGCTTCTAGCAGATGACATCAATATACAGACGGCCAATCATGTATGTATTTTTAATTTATCATACGTTAATATCTAAGTACCATAATCTGTTCCCCGTTAATTTATATACAAATGTTATAATCCATCGTCCCTTCACTATCTAATTTTATCCATCTACTATATACATTATTTGATGTAATAGTTTTACCTATACATAACTAAATGCAATAATATGTTATTCATTCAGATCTAAACTCGGTTGATCTCGTGTTTGTCGGAAGTAGCTTAGAAACGGCAATGTGGCAGTATGCGATTTAGTGGTAGTAGTCGTGCTTAGTTGTACGTTTGTATTAATGGACTGACCAAACCCATCGACTGAGCATTCGCTTGAGACTTATCTCTTCTCCCACTAGCACGTTTTGCGCATGTTTGTCCTCGCTGATTTATGACTCATCGCCATCCATCTTAATCCGTGACAAATCCTATGCGCGAAGTTATGGTATATATTCAATTACTGGTGATATACCTTATACACTATCGCTCCGTACAATCTAAGGACGTTGCAACTGACGCATTACCTGGCACATCTGCATATGTAAATCTATCTGACGCTAGATGCTTTAAACTGCATTCAGAAGTCACAGGATCGCCACCAACGCCATGCATATGTCTTTCAATGTGACAGCATGTATGTAGTACTATTGATGTCACTGGTATTGTACATGTCAAAAACGTGTCAAGAACATTCGATTGGACAACTCAGTGGGATATAACGGTCACAGACACTGTTAAGCCCAGCCACCTACATCTGCATAACGCATAAATGAAATGAACATATGACCACGTCCAGTTTCAATGACAATGTGTATTTAGTTTTGTGTATATTATCCTCCGCCAATGACTCTTTGAAAGCCACAACCACATCCTAATCAACCAATGCTGCTCTGTAGCAACTGACTGCAAGCAACAGTCCGTGTAGTTCGGGACTTTCCAACCGACAGTTAACCTAAATGCGCTTGGGTTTGGGGTTTTAACAACTAATCTGAATACGTTTGGCTTTCATTTGTCATAGCATGGTGACACGCCTCTACACTTGGCGTCGATGTGGGGCCATGTCAAGTGCGTGCAAGTGCTGTTGGATCACAGCGCAAGCATGGAGCCTAAGAACTCGGTAAGGGCAAGGGTAATGGGAATGCAGCCTTTGAGTGAGGGTTTGCAGATATTGAATTTCTTATATATATATATATATATATATATATATATATATATAGTAGTGTGTTGTAGTAGTAGAAGACGTACTAGTTAACTTATTACGTAGTGTGTTG